ATCAGCCCTGAAAATATGTTTCTCAATCAGATTCTTTTGAGTTTTGGCATATCTTCAGTGTCTTCAATGGAACAATATCAATCACATAAGAGGTTTCAGTATTTGTGTTTTGTCTGTGCTCTTTGTTCAGGTTTAAGGGAAAAGGTGACATCATATTCCATATTTCAATGCACCAATGTGACATTAAATATCTAATTAACTGATGAATCCTCTTAGATGAGAGGTGAAACGTCTTCGACCAAAATTTTTTCAGCTATCTAATTAAAGGATAAGTAAGCAAGATAACCGACCGAGCATTTACACTAGTAACTGCTGCTGGTACATTAATGCATCAGCATATTAACTAGGAACAAAGTTGTCAGATAATGCAATGTGAAGCTGGAAATACAAAATTATTCCTCTGAAATATTGAGGATTGGAAAATAGAAATACTCAACTCAGGTACAAGTTCCGTAATGTTGTATGTAAGTACAGTACTTGAGTAAATCTACTTTTTACTTTCTCATTGGTAAACAGGCTGTCTTTGCAAGCTGCTGCTTCTGTGGAGTTTTTGTGGAATATGTTAAGTAACTGGCTTCTAGCTGTAGTCCCTCCCCACCACCCCATCTGTGCTGTAGTGGAAACTGAAATGTTTTCACGCTCATACTGCTGATGTTCAGCGGTGTTTGGCAAAGGCAGTAGAGCTGTGCCAGGGCGATTTCAGAGTGCTTTGCTCTCCATGGGCCAAAGAGGTCACATGGAAGCGAGAGCCTGCCCTTATCGAGCTGGATTATTCCACAAGAGAGAGGTATAAAGTGGAAGAGAGAAAGACCGAGTATGAGTCAGTGTATCATTCTTAGTGCTGGATTCTACAAGCCGCTGGGCAGGAAATGAGGCAGAGGACACCCACTGACCTGCAGCCACTTGCCGCCTCTCAGCCTATCACAAAAACAATTTAAACAGCTAATGGAACTAGGCTGATCCTCTTTCCATCTCATACAGGGGGACTGTGACTCATACTCCTTATTTGTGATTAGAACTCCTCAGGCTTACTGTAGAGGTAATCTGTACCAGATAGGAGACAGACCCAGCTAGTTATGTTATTATACATATCTATCAGACGGATATGTGTAACAGGCTGAGTGCACACTGCTTATGTATGATCTCTTAGAGAGATTAAAAGCAGGAAGCTTGTGAAGGTCTGTGCAGGAGGAAGAGACCTTGTATGCAGGTCAGTCTGAGCGTGGAGGTGGGGTCGAGTGAGGGGTGACTGAGGGGAATGTGGGGGTGCTGCCTGAACATGTCCATGATATAGTGTCAACAGGATGTTGAGAGGAGGATCACAGCAGGTTCATAGAGATCATCTCTGCACACCAATAAGAGCAGAGAGCCAATTTTGAAATGGACAAATAGTTACAGAGAGAACATCCTGGTAAACATATTATTTATATGCATGAGCTCCATGCAGTGATGTAAAATGCTCGTGTTAACAAAAGGACCTATCGCTTAAGTTTTACACACCTATCACATATTTTCTAGCGATAAATCAACATCTTAAATCACACCAGGTGGCTCAGAACGGAACCCGACAGCTCCATTATTCTTCCATTTTATTTCATTCGGTCTCAGTGGGATCATCATCTGTCCCACTTCCTCTGCCCCGGACTCACCGAGTGACAGTTATGTATAAAAAAAAGAACCAGCGGAAGCTTTCCTTCCTCATTGTGTTTGGCCTGGATGTGGTTGTGTGAGACCTGATGAGCCCAGCAGCAGTACACTGTCTTTGCTACAGACATACAGTTTACCACAGCCTGAATACAATATATATATAGCTTGACATATTTACTTGATAAATTACTTAAACAATGAAATGAATAATGAAACTGTTGCTCAGTTTTATGGACTAACTGATTAACTGCACCGCCCCCAGAATCTGATTGTCCATCTCTGCCACAGTCAAAATGTGATGCTCATAAATATTAATGAATGAAAAATGAAAAACAATGACAAACTGTTGCCTTAAACACAACTAACATTTGTCTAGTGCTTAATAACTGATACTGGTCAGATTAGTTTTATTATAAATCATGACATTTGCATTCATTTCTCTGCCTGTTGTTGTGGAGTACGTGGGAACAAGGAGTCCTGGGACTCAAACCATAGACGTTGCCGCTGTAAGGAACGTGATCTAACCATTTGTGTACCAAAGCACTTTTGCATATTTTTTGTTTTGATGCCAACAGGATGTAATCAGCTTTGTGTTTATATAAATCTTGTTACAATGGCCCTTTGCCTGATGAAGATCCAGTAAAGTAAAAATGTTTCTTCTTCAGCCCAATAAAGTTTGGGGAGCTTTAATCGAGTATTTATTTCTCCCCTCATGTAGCCCCCAGCTTTTGTTCTTAAGTCCAATATTGTGTTTTTAATGAGAAGTTGATGTTTGGTGCTTGAAGCATTTGGCAAGAGCAGAGCTCCCTGATGAGATGTGACTCTGGTTATGTTACTTGGACACAGTCTCTTGAGACAACACTAAGCTGTACTCATTATACTGAGGTTAAGTGTCTTAGACAATAGTGGATTACAGCACCAAGGTCCGTAATTGTTCCAGCTTCTGGCATGACATGACATCATGAGTCTCACTTTCCTTGATAAGAGTCATTGCATTTAAACCTTATGAGAGGAGCTCTTTTATATTTACTGCTGAGGAAAAATCTTGTTACTGCAGTGAAATTAATGGATGATGAGCTCTTTGTTCTGTTCAACCACAGGGTAGTCAGACTTAATTTACAAGACAATACAAACACTGTAAGTAATAATAATAACAAAAACAAAAAAGAAAGAGGAAAAAAGAGAGAAATGAATTCACTCAGAGGTGTAGAACTGGAAAGGTAGTGAAATAACTAATGACTTAGGAATATGCATGAAGCCTATAATTAAGCCTGTGGTTTTTAAAGCAAAATTAATCAATTTAAGCATCTTTAATTTCACACTTAAAGCACTCTATCCTACTAATTTTGCCCATCTTCATGAGCTTTTCTACCAGTCACACTGTTTAAACATATACTGCCATCTCCTGGTTGCTCTAGGTAAAAAAAACCTGACATCTGGCAACGGGAAGGATCTACCAGACAAAATATCAGTCCCGTTACCACTGTCAACTAGGTTTTAACTAATAACACAAAGTGACAGAAGTGTCAAACATATTCTGTTGGATTGAAGTTTATTAATTGTTTGCAATAATAAAAAGAAACAATTTGTTAAAAAATGGCTTATAGGCTGATTTTTTTTTTTACTTAACATTCTTTTTTAGTAAAAGTGAACAAAATATTTTAAATGTAATAAAAAAAGCCTTCATATCTTATTAAGTTAAATTCATGTTTCAATTTGGCTGGTCATAAAATACAGGCTGACTGTAACTGTGACAGACAACTGTTGGCCAGTTTCCTTCCTCTTGTGGCAAAAGTGCAATCCGTCCACCAGATAAACTATGCTATAATAGTGTTTGAAATAAAACAGAAGGACTGAGATGATGAGCTGTGGGATAAGTGGGATGACAAAACTCATTTTTGTAAAACATTTTTAGCAAAGATGGCGCGAGTTGATGAACGGCCATTTAATGGTTATAGCAGCCCGTGAAAATGAAAGTAATCACTGCTTTTCTCTGCTCTTCCTACTCATAAAGTAAACCGGGCAAAATGGCTTGGTGGTAACACAGCTACAACAAAACAGGAGTGAGGAGCTTAAAATCAAGATGTGCTGGGCAGGCACTATGGCGGGCTGTCTGTTCACAAACTCATACTATGCAAAAGAAATGATAATATAGCTTCAAGAGTGATGAGAGCTTCAGTTTATGGTTTCCAATTACTCTGAATCAAACCAAAACAGGGCTAGCGAGCTGCTGTGGCAGACATATTCTCTACATCATAAACAACCGAGAGGAAATGAAGAACAATAAGACTCTTAAACCTAGAGCATGTGGGCGACAGCTTTCCCACATAAAAATGCTAACCCTGCACTCAAGTGCCATAACCCACTACTGAAGTCATATATACAGTTGTAACAACAAAAAGATGACATGAGTATATAAAACAAAAAGTAATAAAATACTTAATACATTACACATACATTTACTTCATAACTAGTCATTTTTGGAAAGCTACTGGTTACCAGTCAGACACACCCGAGAGGAAGACAGAGATGTGATTTAAAGTTGCAAAAGATAGCAGGAGGGAGGAGGAGGTGATGGTGGGTGTAAACAGAGGACAAGATCAGGGCTACGAGGAGCTGATGATAGAAGCCAAAACCTCAACCACAGCAGTCCTGCCTTGAGCCTCCCCTCCACCCTCTACACCAAAAATACCAGGTGCAAAATCACAGAGTGGCATTAATCCTTGAGAGCGTTTCCAACGGACATACCCACACCCTCCCGGTTCCCTCTGATCTCCTTGCCCCTGAGTCAGAAGATGCTCTAGATCTCTAGCTCACCAAATGTCACTAAAGTGCTCTTTCTACTACTATGTTAAGCGCTTCACTGAAGTCAGCCAAGGACAACAAAACAACAGAAACCACAAACAAACATTTGCATAGTATTAAACCGATGTCTCAGGGTTCCAAAACAAAGTATCATAAACATTGAATTAAAAAAATCACAAATGATAAGACAACACCTGTAACTTGTGAACTTAATGTCCAACAAGTGTGTCAAGCTTAAGTAAGAGGTGCGCGTGTGGGACATTTGGGGTGTGAAGAAAATTTGCAAACTGTCAAGGCAGGAGCAGCTAAAATGGTGGAGACAGTTGTCTTATTGTGGGTGTGCATACATATATATATATATATACACAAAATAACGTAAGACAAGGAGAGAGATAAAGGGGGAAAAGTCCATCCGTGTGTGGTGTGAAGCTGGCTCCATCTTCAGCTG